TTAGGGTTTTGAGTGAAAGGAGAGTGGATTAAGTGAGAGCATCACTTTGGCAAGCTTGAACACTTGATTTCTTTGTCAAGCCGGTTGATTTTGCTTCTATTACTCTTGGGGCTTTACCCCTAGCCGGCTAGGCGTTGCCCAAGAGCTTCCATCTTGTGGAAGAGCCTTGGGAAGTTTGTATTACCCTTGATTTCTTAGTGGAAAGCTCAAGTGACCTTTGTGGTTGCTTTGAGAGAGGCAAGGAGGTGAAAGAGACTCCGACCTTGGTGGTCACCTCAACAACGAAGACGTAGGAGCTCCTTTGTGGGGTTGTCGAACCTCGAAATAAATCCTTGTGTCCCGCGTGCTTGTTGTTGTTGTTGTTGTGATTGCTAGAGATTACTCGTATTTGTTTGTCTCTTTCTTTCGCAAACTTTCATTTTAGGGTTTGGACTCGATCTACGGTTTGGAGGCATTACGGCGTTAAGGGAGTGACCCAACATCTTCACCAAACCACTAGGAAGTGGGGTTGTAAGATTATTTATCCACAAAGTTAAATTTGGCATTGCTTTTGTAGTTCACGTAGGCGTTGGGACTGCTGACGTTTGCGCCGGAACTTCTGACGACGTCGGGAGTTCCGACCCAAACGCCGAGACTTCCGACATTGACTGACTAATTTGAACTTAGCATTTGCAGTAAATTTTTAGATACGCCTATTCACCCCCCTTATAGGCATTGTTAGATCCTTTCACAAAGGCTAGCTCAAACGGCTTGTTGGGCTGAAGGGTTGACTCAACAAGGGCTCGATAAGGTAGGCAGTTATGAGGACACTAAGGCCCAGAAGGGTTGTACACTATGTGAGGGAATATGCCAGGGGGCATTCTTATCCCAAGAATTCTGTAACTATACCCAAAAAAGGGGGCTCAGACCCTAAGAAAGAGATATCACTCTTTGACCCGAAACCCTAAGCGTCCTTGCCTTGATAATCCCGTGTGTATCCGACGAAGGCCCTCGCCCCGACGCCTAGGCCTTCGTCGGCCATGGCTGAGCAGCACTGTGCTCGACCCCGTCTCCTTTGTCAGGAACCCTCGATTCCCAACATATACAAGCGGTTTGTGTACGCATGCCGCCAATATATAAATTGATTTACATTGTTCGAGTACCACTTAATAGAGAGGATATAGATCAGAGTAGATTTGGAAAAGGGAAAAATTACAACAGAGTAGAAGAAGGGCCATGAACCTTAGCTTTAGCATAAGAATGAGTATTCTGTCCTTACATGTTACCCTCTTCTCTCTTTCCTTGTTTACTTAGGCCCAGTTTGGTTCAGCTTATGTAAGTCTCGCTTATAAGCTGAGCAAGATTACGATATGTAGAATCTAAGCTAGACGTTTGGCTGCCCGATTATTTCGGATAGGACATTTTGCACTGGGACCCTGAACTTTTCCCAAATCTACCCGCAACAAACTAGCACTGTTCTACACTATTCATCCGAGTCTATACTTTTCCATCTAGACCCAAGAAAGAGTTTGTATTTCTTTTTTCCTCCCATCTATTGTTGCTCGGAGTAGAGGATGATGGGCCAACGACGAGCGGCAGCGTTAGGGCACAAGACGGAGGCGTGGCCGGCGTCGAGGGAGGGGATCCGGCCCACCACCGGCATATCAGGCCAGGGGGAGGCAACGTCCGGCCCGAATGGGGCCCGAGCTGGAGGGAGACGGTGGTAGGGAGGGGAGCCGGCGGTGGGGAGGAGATCCGGCCCACCGCCGGTGGATCTGGCCTGGGGGGAGGTGACGCCGGGTCCAGAGAGTCTCCCTGAGCTGGAGGGAGGTGGCGGCAGGGAGGGGAGCTGGCAGCGTTGATGGAGCGCACGAAAGCGAGGGGCAGGTAGGGAAGCGGGTGCGCGATTTCCAAATTGCGGGGCTCCGCTCGCGTTTCTAATCGTCGTTGTTGGGCCGAAATCAAACACGAACGCCGCTTCCGCCATGGAGCCGTTGCGAACCGTTTGGCGCGATTATTGGTTTGTGCCGGTCGCAACGCGACTTATGAGCGGAACCAAACAGGGCCTTATACTGGTGCAAGGGCTCAGCCCTCCCAGCGCGTGGATCCAATCCGGTCCAATATACTTGGTGCCGGTGTTTCGTGAACCGACCAATAAATTTAGCGCCGCGCTGCTCTAGGATTCGATGGATAGCACTCAAGACACGGGGAAATTGTACTGGTTCGGGAAGGAGCCCTACGTCCAGTCTTAGGGGGTTTGAGTTTGTGTTCCTCGGGTAAGTACTCAGTAGGTTTACAATGGGGCGCTCGTAAGCGTGGAGAGAGTGAGTGTGCGAGTTGAGAGAGTGAGCGTTCGAGACAGTCTAGAGAGTTTGAATGAAGGTCTGACTCCCCTTATATACTTTTGGGGGCCGGGTGATAGTCGAGAGGGAAGGTTCCCCTGACCCGAGTGGTCGAGGGCCCGAGGGGAGGGTGGCGGTTGGCGAGCTCGGCCTATGGGCTCTCTACGTCTTGTCCTAGCTTTTGTTGCACGTTCGTATGTCGTCACGGGTTCTTGCTTTCCACATCAAGGCATGGTGCGCCATGGTGGCACAGTGCGGGTCGTGGCCGTCCCCTAGCTGTTCGGTAAAACGTGGGTGCATAGTGCACATCGTGGCCCTCGTTCTTGCACCCGCTATCCCAGGGAGGGCGTCATGGTGTTAGCGCGCGAACATGGCGGCCGTCCTCTGCTGAACGTCAGCCTTCCCAGCCGTGGTAGGGCGACGCGGCACTGCCCCGACCACATGTGGACGGGTCGAGGGTCCTTTGGCCTGACTGGGTCCCAAGGAGATTGACTCATGGTCGTGAGGCCCATGCCTAAGGTAGGCACGGTCGTACACCCGCTAGTTGAGTCAGGCAGTGGTTGAGCGGTCCTGAGCCACGTCCTGGCGTTGCCCTGCCACGGAGTGGCCCTCTGACCTTGCGAGGGGAGCGGTCCGAGGGGGGAAGCCTCACCCCGGACCCCGCGGTCCGGAAGGTGGTCGATGCACGCCATGACCCTGTTGTCTGTTGGGTGGTCAATGCACGCCATGGCCCTGCGGTCCATTGGGTGATCGTCCTTCTTTGTCATGAGAGGACGTGGGCGTCCATCGTGGCAGGTGCATTAAATGCGCCATCCACTCCTGGTCCAATCCATACTCGGTTGCCCGAGGTCAGGGGTGGCCGACGCGGGCTGCAGGCTGCGTGGTCGGAGGAGGAGAATGGTCGAGGCGGGCCGCGGATGCTGGGCTGCGGCCTGCTGGTTTATTTAATTCTCCTTTGAAGTTTTTCAATTTGGTCGGTTTTTTATTTTCTGTATGTTTTATTTGGTTCTCCTTTGAAAATTTTCAATTTGGCTTCCATAGAAATAATTTGGCTCATTTTTTGTGTTTTGTTTGTTTAATATTTTTACGTTATTTAGATAATATTTTTTGGTTCATTTGATCTAGATCCAATGGTCATGACAATCAAGCGTTGCATGAATAAAAAACACACTATTTTTGTTTCTGCTGTGAATCGGATGTTGGTGTGCCATCCAACACTCGGGTGTCACGGCCCCTAAAACACTCTATTACTATTCTTTCACGCAGGCGGTTAACAAAACAGTAAGTACGAATGCAGCCACCAGTAAAAATGTTTCCTGTACTATAGTTACAAAACGTTGAGTTTCTGAGATCAGGTGGACGCTAATATTGTATCCTTGAAGGTTGGCATCCTTGGATCAGATCAAAGGAATGGTTTCGTCTCGCAGACTCACACTCAGTTTAGCCAATACGCATTTTGGTTTGACTTGGCATATTCTTGCGTCTTAGCGTCTACGCTACGATTTCTTTTTTAGGGCTCTTTCTACTGCACACATTTGAAGTAAAGAGAGAGCTAAAATGGTCAGCTTTCCTTTTCCTTTGAAAAGAAAAGGGATCATGCAGAGCTCACCTTGCAGAGGAAACGCAAGCCAGGATTATTCACACGATTCAAACGCAAAGACGTTGTGAGCCTGGTAACGCGGTTTTATGTCGACATTTTGTGGTCTTGTGGACCGTATCCGTCCCGAGAACCCAAAAAGGTTGATGCAAAACGTTGTTTTGATCACTCAGTCGTCTTCAAAACCATTCTTTTTTGTATCCAAAAAGATCATTCTTTTTCAATAAAAAAAGGAGCCAACTGTTTGTTTTCACCGTTTTTGTTTTGGAGGAAACGAAATTTTTCGATCAACGCCAATTCGCCAACATCGGGTCTCATACATACGTACACCTTATGTGGCGATGTGTGAACTCAAAGTGAATCATGCACCAACCTGCAAGAGATTAAGATGTTCAGAAAGTGAATAGCATAATCATGATTCATGATTCAACAGTTAGGGTGTGTATATAAGACCCCGTTTAGATGCGAATTTTTTGGCTTTTGGCTACTGTAGCATTTTCATTTGTATTTGACAAAAATTATTCAATTATGGACTATTTAGGCTTAAAAGATTCGTCTCGCCAATTACGGGCAAACTGTGCAATTAGTTATTCTTTTTACCTACATTTAATACTCCATGCATGTGCCGTAAAATTTGATGTAACGGGAAATCTTGAAAATTTTTGGATTTTGGGTGGGATCTAAACAGGGCCTAAGGCACAGGAAAGTGGCAAAAACATATGCCTATTCAATAAATCAAACTGACAGCCTCTTCGCTTGCTCGTATACGATCATGGATTATAAGCTGGAACTGTACTTTTCTCTCACACCAAACTAGACAGCAATAAATAATCCACGATCGTTTACGGCCTGCCGAACAGCTTACAGTAATCAGCAGAGCTAATTAATGAAATGAGACCGCCACCAGGGTTCCAGGGCTAACATCATGGAACCAAGAACAGAAAAAAAAAATTACCAAAGAATGATCAGGAAACAACTGACTGCAAAGCTTCACTGGACACACCCTGAACACAGAGTTGTCAAACCTACTTTCTGTAGATGGCAATGGCTTGTTACTGATGTGCTGCTTGCTACTCAGTGATTTAGAAAGCGCCCTCCCTGGGATTGTCCTCCGGGGACGTCTTCGTGTCCGAGTAGGAGTTCCGGATCTCCTCGATCCTGCTGACCACCTCCTCCATCCGAGGCCGCTCGTCGGGGACAACTGCAACGCATGCCATCGCGACATGGAGCATCTGGACCATCTCGTCCTCGACGTTCGGGTGCCTTAGCAAGTCGACGTCGAAAACCTCCGACGTCCACTCTTCCCGGACCACGGACTGCACCCACCTGGGGAGGTGCTCGATGGAATCATCACGCCCGGGGGACCTGAGAGGGGCTTTACCCGTGAGCATCTCGAGGAGGAGGACGCCGAAGCTGTAGACGTCGGATTTCTGCGTCGGTTTCCTGGTCTCGAGGACCTCGGGTGACCGGTACCCGATGAGCCGTGGGTGGACGTGGGGCGTGGACATGAGCTGGGCAAGGCCGAACTCAGTGACGCAGGCGCTGAGTTCCTGTGAGATAAGGATGTTACTTGACTTGATGTTCCCGTGAATGAACTTCCCGCCACCCTCGGCGTGAAGATATGCCATCCCGCGTGCAGCGCCCAGAGCTATTTTCACTCTGGTCTCCCAGTCCAATGGGGTTCTTCCAGCAGCTTTATTCCCTGGGTTTTACAATCAACAATTAGTCTGCTATCATATATAATTTCATTTCAACAGAAATGTGTATAATGAGCTTAGTCAGACTTTCAGACAATAAGTTAGCAAAACCAGTGAAATAATTGTAAATAAAAGTGGAAATGCTATGGAAGTAAAACTTGAAATGCACTTTTCATTTGGTGACCCAGTCCCAAAATCTCAGTAACCAATTAAATTTGTGGTATCCAAGCAAAAGGGAACGTCCATACTTAAAGACAGATTAGATAAAATAGAAATGGAAACAAACTGTCAATTAGGTGTTCTGTCAAAAGTCTTACAGCCCTCCTAATAAAATCACACAGTTTCCAGGTCATGGCGATTCAGTAAGTTTAGATCACAGCCAAATGTGTGTAAACCTGAATCATAGATATGCAACACAACATTAACCCACTAGCCTTATATATAAAAAAACCCACTAGAGCTACCTGTACCTCCAATTACCTATGCAGTGCTGGCAGATTGCAAGTCGGTAATGGTGTGATAACTCAAAGTAGGTAACGGAAAATCAAGACAGCACTATGGAATCACCAATTATTCTTTTGCAATCACTGCAAAGGCCAGAAAATGCCAGTAGCTCAAAAGCCTAAAATTTCTAGGTACAAGACAGGTCTTGTGGACTGTTCATGGGAACTCCAGAACAGCAGTTGGAATCCCAAAAACGAAAAAGTGAGAAAGGTATATGTCAACATCCCTTGTAATAAACTATGTTATATTCAGAAGAATAAAAACTAATGGCCAAAGACAGTACATCTGGAGTGTATATCTATGTTCCAAATAATAAATACCTTATTCAGAAAAAAAGCCCTATATTTAGTAGCTTATTATAATCTACACAACACAGAGTTACAGAGTTCTCTACAATCAATGTAAGGCATCCCCACTTTGAGAATTCAAGTATGCGATCACCATTTTCAGCCTTTGATGTTGGTTTCTACCTTGTGATTTGAACTAAACTTTTATTGACCACAGGATAAAGAAAAGATTATGGTGCAGCACTATTCGTGCTTCACTTCACTTGCAATACAGTCAAGGGCCAAGGTACCAGAATGAACATGAATATGTTTTGCTCAAGCCTTAGTGTTGACTAAGCATCTATTTCAGTTCAATTCTTTCAAGCTGAAGTAAGATAGCTTTAATTTTCAATAGTAAATTTCAAACTAACATTCTGACAGGTAACAAAATGTAAAATGATTTAAATAGATTATTTGAAATGAAGGACATACCATGCAAAGCAGAACAAAGGCTACCTAATGGGACATAGTCATACACCAAGAGCTTCTCATCCCTGGAGTAGTAGTAAGCACGCAATGGGACAGTGTTCTGATGCTGGCAAACCTTGCCAATTAGCTCCATCTGCTGTTCAAATTCCCTCTTTCCCGCCACCACTTCCTTCAATCTCTTGACCACCACTGTTGTTCCATCCTCCAGAACAGCTTTGTAGGTAGTCCCATAACTTCCTTTTCCAAGGACTTCAGCCGAAGCCCTCAACAGATCCTCCAAGTCAAAATTATATGAACATCCCTCAAAGAAAAACAGTTTATTTCTCTCCGCTTCTTGAATACCACTGCTGAATTCCCCCTTGGATTTTTCTCCCCTTCCACCTGCAATAGCCTTTCCTTTGGATGAAGATGATGCTGTGCCAGGCTCTGCATCTCTCTTTCTTTTGAAGATGCATACCAAGAGGATGAGGATCAAAATTAATAATACAGCCCCTCCTCCAGCAGCTATTGCAATTTTGACACCAAGGCTGAGCTTTTTCCAGAAGCTTCTTTTGCCACTTTGGGGTGATGGCGACGACGGAGAAGGAGGTGGTGTCCCTGGACATGGTTCCAATGGAAATCCACACAGAAAGGCATTTCCCAGAAAAGAAGTAGCTGGGAACTTCTGCAGGGAGGGTGGTATAGGTCCACTCAGGTTATTGTTGCTCAAATCCAAATGTCTCAACTTGGGGAGGTGAAGGTCAGGGATGGGTCCAGAAAGAGAGTTGTTCTGGAGAAGCAATGCTGTCAGTTCAGTGATGGCTTGCACCTCCGATGGTATTTCTCCACCGAATGAGTTATAGGACAGGTCTAAGAATGTTAGACTGGAAGATAGTGAACTTGGTATAATTCCGGACAGGTTATTGTGTTGAAGATAAAGAGAGCGCAGCGAGGGAATAGATGGTACATCAGGAGGGAGATTAATAGTAAGACGGTTTGACCTAAGACTCAACACCTCCAAGGCATCAAGCTTGCCAAGTGTGCCCGATGGGATAGGACCTAAAAGCCCTATTGCAGGTAATCGGACTTCACGTACACGTGTCCTGTCCGGTGTGCATGTAATGCCAACCCAGGATGTGCAGACTTGGGTTGTGGAGGTCCAGTTGACCTTTCTGCCATGAGGCAGTGATGCAGCAAATGCAAGAAGGGCCTGCTTATCGGTGTTTAGGTCAGAACCTCTAGCATATGGAAGGTGCATAAAGAAAAGAGAGCCATAAAGAAAAGCTATCAGCTTGAGATGCCACATTTGTTGGGATTGGCTGGAAGAAGAAGAAACCAGTTATAATCCAAGAGTCCTCATCAGTGCATGTGCATCACTCCTGACACATAAAAGGCTAACAAAAGTCAGCAATACATAATGGTCCAAATTTAAGAATAAATAAGAACAGTCAAAATTTCAGTTTGGTGCATAGAAACAAGGTAGAAAGGAAAGGAATGTGAATGTGGATAACAAGCATAAAAGATTTAAGTTTTCCGGTGGACATTTATATACTCTGCAACAAACAAGTAAACAGCTACTGGAAACCACAGAAGGTAAAGGAGGAGTAACCCATTTTATAATTTTGATCATCTAGATATGATGCAATCACACAAACTACCAAAAAAGCTGAGCAATTCTAATGTACAATTGGATGCAATTTCATCAATTAACAGCTTATAAGAAGCATTACCACTTCTTAAGTTTAAATGTCAAACCAGGCATTTCCTTCGTTAAATATCACATTCACGATCATGCTAAAAACACAAGTTTTCTCCGTTTCTCGTACCACCTGCTAAAGAATAATAGCAAATATACTTACAAGAATGGGCACTATTGTGAGGCCAACAAGGTTTGGCCCATAGTTTATGAAGTTGGTGCATCAGCTCCAACAGAAACACAACGAGCAGCTTACACAAACAGTAAAATATAAATACGACTTTCTTAGGAGATTCTAACATATTTTAATTGCCACTGTCCTTAACTCCTTACCCACCTTTCATCATAATGAGGATCCTATACTTTGCATCATAACTAATTCGCATTAATGAGAGAAGGCTGGTGGAAGGTCACTCTTGGAATGAATCGTAAATTCATGAGACAATGACAAAGTGATGCCCACATTGATGTTTCAAGGGGACCATCACATTCCTCAACTAGCCACACAGCAACCTCCTCTCTAAAAATAGTAAAACGAAACGAAAACAGAATGACACATCTTGCCTTCTCTTTAGCCTCAACCGAAAGGCCCGGACCCAAACAAATCCGCTGGTTTATCTCAATCTCTTTATGAAAAGTGTTAGAATAGGCGCCTATGGGCTGGTCATGGGCCTAGCGCCCAAGCCTATCGGCTGGGCTGCCTCTAGGGATTATGGTACATGATTATTGATTAGGCAAGGATCACCGTTGATTGGGTGTTTCTATAAACCCTTCCTGATCCTTGCCTATATAATGTACTCCATGTATCCATATCAATCTATCACAATTTTCCGAGACCTATTCGCTCTCATGGTATCAGCCGCCTAGGTTTAGGTCTTCCCTTCCGTTGCACACCCCTGCGCGCCGGCCTCTGCCGTGCAGCGCCATGTCTCCCACTCCTCCGCCCTCTCCCAGGTCTGGGGATGTTTCCGCTGGCGAGATCGCGGCACGCCAGGCCAAGGAGAAGGCGAACGCCGCCGCCGCCGCCGCCGCCCAACTTCTCGACAAGGAGCGCCAGGCCGCCCTGGCTCGCATTGCCTAGGCCGAGGAGGAGGCTGCAGCCGTCGTCAAAGATCGCGACACGGCTGCTGCCCGCGCCAGCGAAGCCCTGGCGCACGTAGTCAAGGAGCGCGCGGCCGCTGCAGCCGCCGCCGCCCCCGGTGCACCTGGTGACGCCTCCTCCAGCACATCTTCGACGTCTCCTCCCGACCTCGCCTTAGCCATGCTCCTCCATGAGGCCATGGCACTGCTGCAACTGCATGCCCATGCCGTCGCCATCAACAACATCCGGAACCACGTCACCACCGTCCTCGACGTCGACTCCGGCAACTTCAACCGCTGGCGCGATCAGTTCCTGCTCATCCTCGACAAGTTCTCTCTTCAGGACCACGTCCACGAGGAACCTCCAGCCCCGATCTCCCCTGACTGGGCTCGGATGGACTGCGTCGTCAAGTCCTGGATCGTCGCCACGCTCACCGACGACCTTGTCGAGATCATCTCCGCCCAGGGCTCCACTGCCCGGCATGCCTGGCTCGCCGTCGAGTCCCAGTTCCTCGGCAACCGGGAGGCTCGCTCCATCCACCTTGAGACGCGCTTTTCGCAACCGTCCCAGGCGACCTCTCCGTCACCGACTCTGCCGCCGATCAAGAAGATGGCTGACGACCTCACGGCTCTTGGCGAAGTGATCACCAACCGCACCCTCGTCCTTAACGTGATCCATGGCCTCAACGAGCGCTTCAGCCACGTCGGGGCCCTCCTACGCCGCAGCCGGCCCTTCCCCACCTTCCTGGAGGCTCGTGATGACCTCATCCTCGAGGAACTCACATTGGAGAATAAGGAGTCCCCTCGCCATCGCTCTCGCCGCTTCCACCGCAGCAGAGCTCCTCCAAAGCTGCCTCACCCACGTCCCAACACGGGCTCGGGCGCCATGCGGCCCTAAGTCCTCAACGGCAATCGCCAGCAGCAGCGCGGGCGGTGGGTGGAAAGGGGGCCCTAGTGGCAACAACAAAGACCGGAGGCCACCGCCCTCCCTCGCGCCAAGCACCGCCACAGTGGTCGCCCCCGCCCAGTGTCTACAACCCATGGATGGGTTCCATTCGAGATGTGGCGGGGGTCCTCGTCCTCCGGCTGGCACCCATCCGGTGCCTCCTCATCTGCAGAGCAAGAAGAAGGCCCTCCTCGCCCAAAGCCAGCGGGGGCACTGTCGCCACCCACCACTGACCCTCTCGCTGTCAGCCGCCCCGATGGCTCGGGATGGTGGGTCGCCCCGGGGTACTACAATCCTGTGGCCGGCCTCCCTTCTTGGGACCAGACGGCCCTCGCCTCCGCCTTCAGCACGACGTCGCTGACCCCTCCTTCGTCCAATGAGTGGTACTTCGACACAGGTGCTACTTCACATATGACATCTCAGTCTTCCTCCCTTTCACATGTTCTATTTCCGCGGTATCCTACTCCTTCATCTATTGTTGTCGGTAATGGTTCCATGCTTCCTGTTACTGCCACTGGCTCCACAGAGTTGTCCCCCTACTTTACGTCTTAATAATGTTCTTGTGTCGCCACAACTTATTAAGAATCTCATCTCTGTGCGCCAATTCACTATCGACAACAACTGTTTTGTTGAGTTTGACCCCGCTGGTTGTTCTGTGAAGGTTCTTCCATCTCGGACCGAGATCGTCAGGTGCAATAGCTCCGGGCCGCTATATCCACTGCGCCTACCTCTAGCACACTCCTTTGTCGCCAAGGCTCCCTCCCCACTGTGGCATCGGCGTCTCGGTCACCCCGGTCATGAGGCGTTGTCGAAGCTTGCGTCTACTGTTTCCTGTCATATTCAGGATTGTTCAGATCTATGTCACGCTTGTCAGTTAGGGCGTCATGTTCGTCTGCCCTTTCATTCGTCCACCTCTCGTGCGTCTAGCAAGTTTGATCTTATTCATTGTGACTTGTGGACATCTCCAGTTGTCAGTGTTTCTGGTTACAAATACTATTTGGTCATACTTGATGACTGCACTCACTACTTGTGGACTTTTCCTTTGCGACTCAAATCTGACACTTACAACACGCTTGCCCACTTCATCGCCCACGCCTCCACCCAATTTGGCGCCCACGTCAAGGCTGTCCAGTGCGACAATGGGAAAGAGTTTGACAACTCTAGCACCCGTCACTTCTTCCTCACCCAGGGCATCCATCTTCGTATGTCCTGCCCCTACACCTCGCCTCAAAATGGTAAAGCCGAACGTATTATTCGCTCCATCAATAATGTCGTTCGCTCACTGCTCTTTCAGGCGTCTATGCCTCCCTCCTACTGGGCGGAGGCCCTCTCCACAGCGACCCTTCTGCTTAACATACTGCCCACCAAGACTCTACAGTTCTCCACGCCCCACCTTGCCCTGTACGGCACGCCGCCGGCGTATGATCACCTACGAGTCTTTGGCTGCAAGTGTTATCCAAACTTGTCCGCCACCGCTCCTCATAAACTCGCTCCTAGGTCTACCTTGCGTCTTCCTAGGCTATTCCGCTCACCACAAAGGATACCGCCGCCTTGACCTCTCCACCAATAGAGTCATCATCTCCCGACACGTCATCTTGGATGAAACGGCCTTCCCCTTTGCTGAGCGCAATAGTCCTAGTATTCCGGCGGACTTTGATTTTCTTGATGCTACAGATATTGTGCCCGCTCCTATTGGACCGTTGCACAAGTTTTTGTCTGCAGGAACACCATCCAGCACCTCTGACGTCACCAGCGCCCCTGCCGGTCCCTCTGAGACTGTGCCTGGGGTGCCCCCGACGCCTCCGGTGGCTGCTACTGATCCCCCAGCGGACACTGCTGATCCCCCGGCGCCAGCGCTCTACATCCCACCTGCGCTGCGGACGCCAGGGACCCCTCCCGCGCCACGCGCGGCTCAGGACGCGCCTAGCACGACTGGAGGCGCTCCACCTCGCCAGCTGTACATCCCGCCAACGCTTTGCGCGAGCTCACAGTCTCCAGCACTGACTGCGGGCTCCACAGCGCCGGTGTCACCTCCTCAGGCACCCCGCAGGCCCCCGCCTAGGTTCCCGCCTCTTCGTCCAGACCGCGCCTTCTCCTACCACTACACGCGCTGGCCTCGACCACAGCCTGCTCCAACTGCTCCTGTCACCGCCGCCCCGGCTGCACCTGCACCAGCCGCCCAAGTTGTGTCTGCTCCAGCCACGCCGCTCCCACTGCTCAAAGGGGCTGTTGCTGTCCCTCCTGTGACCAACCAGCACGCCATGGGCACACGTTCGAAGGGCGGTTTTCGGATGCCTGCTGCGTACCACGCTACGCCTATGTCACCGATACCGAAGACCTTCCGTAGCGCTCTTGCCGACCCCATGTGGCGAGCTGCAATGGAAGAGGAACACAGTGCCCTGCTGAAGAATCACACTTGGGATCTCGTGCCTCGACCCCCTCAGGCCAACATCGTCACTGGCAAGTGGATCTTCAAGCACAAGTTTCAGTCTGATGGCTCCCTCGAAAGGCACAAGGCGCGCTGGGTTCTCCGCGACTTTACCCAGCGGCCTGGTGTGGACTTTGATGAGACATTCAGTCCCGTGGTGAAGCCTGCTACTGTTCGCACGGTGCTCTCCCTGGCTCTCTCTTGCCGTTGGCCCATACACCAGCTTGATGTGAAGAACACCTTTCTTCATGGCAACCTGAGAAAGACAGTTTATTGTCAGCAGCCGTCTGGGTTCGAAGATCTAGCTCATCCGGACTATGTTTGTCATCTGAAGAAGTCACTATATGGCCTCAAGCAGGCCCCTCGTGCTTGGTACAGTCGCATGGCCACACACTTGCTGTCCCTTGGGTTTGCTGAAGCCAAGTCAGACACCTCGCTCTTCGTTTACCAGCGCGGATCAGACACAGCCTACCTGTTGCTCTATGTTGATGACATCGTCCTCACAGCCTCCTCCACCGGCCTTCTTCGGCGGATCATCTCAGCCCTTCAGCGGGAGTTCGCTATGAAGGACCTTGGTGAACTGCATTACTTCCTCGGTATGCATGTTCAGCGCAGTGGTGATGGCCTTCTTCTTTCTCAGCGACAATATATGCTGGACATTCTTGATCGCGCCGGGATGGCAGAGTGTAAGCCGTGTTCCACTCCAGTTGACACCAATCCGAAGATTGCTGCAGCAGATGGCACCCCTGTCTCTGACCCTTCAGACTTTCGCAGCCTCGCTGGAGCCTTACAGTACCTAACGTTCACCCGGCCAGATATTGCATATGCTGTGCAGCAAGTCTGTCTTCATATGCACGACCCTCGTGAGCCTCACCTTGCAGCTCTGAAGCGGATTCTGCGCTATGTTCGAGGCACTCTCCACCTTGGTCTACTTCGGCTGATCTTGTCGTCTACACCGACGCTGATTGGGCTGGTTGTCCATACACCCGCAAGTCCACCTCGGGCTATGCTGTGTTTCTTGGCGACAATCTTGTCTCCTGGTCCTCCAAGCGCCAGAACACGGTGTCAAGATCCAGTGCTGAAGCCGAGTATCGCGCGGTGGCCAATGGAGTTGCTGAGGCCACCTGGCTGCGCCAGCTTCTTCTAGAGCTGCATGCCCCTCTCCGACGCGCTCCACTGGTGTATTGCGACAACATCAGTGCCGTCTACATGACCTCCTACCCGATACAGCATCAGCGAACCAAGCACATAGAGATTGATCTTCACTTCGTCCGGGAGCGAGTCGCCATTAGTGATCTTCGTGTTTTGCATGTTCCCACTTCTTCACAATATGCGGATATCTTCACCAAAGGTCTGCCTTCTTCAGTGTTCACGGAGTTCAGGTCCAGTCTAAACGTGCAGAGTGACTGACGATTCGACTGTGGGGGCGTGTTAGAATAGGCGCCTATGGGCTGGTCATGGGCCTGGCGCCCAAGCCTATCGGTTGGGCTGCCTCTAGGGATTATGGTAGATGATTATTGATTAGGCAAGGATCACCGTTGATTGGGTGTTTCTATAAACCCTTCCTGATCCTTGCCTATATAATGTACTCCCTGTATCCATAACAATCTATCACAATTTCCCGAGACCTATTCGCTCTCAAAAAGGACAGCTAGGATCATGTGCCATATAAAAGGAAACCAGCACATCTTTTAGCTAGTAGCCATCACTCTTTAGCCTTTTCTGAAAAGGATAACTCCACTGTGTTAACAAAACAACCACCACGCCTAAACAATGGCGCCTGGTCATAACAAGAACAGACACAAGGGTGGCGACAAAACATTACCCCTGTTGATGAGGGTGAGGCACAGCACGTTGGTGGACTCTCTTGCACATGTGTAACTTAGACAAAAGCAGCATTGCAGGGAACCTAACCTAGACCCAATAACTACACCTAATACCATTTGTTTTCTCAAGGACCAAAATGCTTTGGGAAAAGGCAGTCAGCACGAAACCAAAAGTCCAGCACGTAAAGCAGGTGGTCTCAGATGCAAGAAACCAAAGGGAAGAGGACTTGCAGGCAGGGGTGTGGGGCTCTGCTCGTTTATGGGGGCGATCATGGGCAGCACGGCACACTGAGGACGTGAGGGGGGATCTCAGGCTCCACACCATAGGACAAAAGGAAGGCAAGATCCATCACTATCTCGACACCTCAAAAGACAATTGCAACAGTAGATGTACCGGTAGGATCAGTAAGAGCTCCTCTTTAAAAAAAGATGACTGAGAGTTCACACTTCCATGTTCTCCTACCCCATGGATGCACCAAGCTTGAGAATTGCCCATGTATAAATGTTACTGCAAGGGTGCAGTTCAGTATACTACATGCCTGACCTGCTCCATTGCATGATTTTCAAGTTGCTGTTTGTTTATTAACAATTGCATGTTGTTTACACCACGTTAAGTGCAAAAGCATACTAGTTTTTTTTTTACAATAAAAGCATACTAGTTCAGTGCCACACTGTTATTTTTCCGTAAAAACAATAAATGCAGTACTTCACTAATCACTAGCACACCAATAAACGGAAGGTAACAGTGGCCGTGTAGCCTGCAGAGATTCGAAATGCTCAACTACTACTACTAACAAAAGCGCAATTCCAGTGCATTCTCTTAGCCTTTTTAAAGACAAAAGCACGCACGCGTCGACCAACCAAAGTGTGTTTGAAGAGAAAAAAAGCTCGATTTGCTTTTCCTACAACAGTATTGTGGCGAGCCCAAGAAACGGACTACTACACATTGTACGTAGAAATCGTTTTCGCAGTCAGTAGTACGCGGTACTGTACTGAAGAACTCTGAATTACGCCGTACGTACCTCGCAAGTTGCAAGAAAGCCATCCCAGGTTCGCGAATCCCGGAGGCGGAGGCGAGCTTCATTCCCTCCCGCGGCGCGTGCGGCGTGCGCCTCCCCTCGGCTCGGCGTCGGCGGCAACCCAGGAGGTAAAGGAAACCAACGGGGATGACGCCGCACGCCGGGAGGAGAATTCCGACCTTCGCGGCGTCACCAAGACTGACTGACTGGCACCTGGCAAGAAAGCCAACCGCCCGCGCTCTCGGAGTCGCCGCCCGCCTCAGGATCGGGCCTCGCAGTCACCGCCTAGGGCCAACAGCGCCAAGAATCGCTCCAGAGGGGGGCAGGCCGATCCGCCGTTGAGACGGCCGGCATTCGCCCGCGCCCCGGGCGCCGTAAACCGCGGTGGCTGGACCACCGCCCCACCGCCTCCTCAGTCGTCACGTCACCCCCTTCACGGGAGCGAGAGCGTGCGTACCGAGGCGGCTGGGCTGTGCCTTTCTCCCTCTCCCTCCCCGCCCGCCTCTGCGCCTCCCTCTTCGTTGCAGTTGCGAGCGGACGCAGGCAGCCAGTGATGCTGATGTGATGCCGCGGGACGGCGGGACTCGGGAGGAATGCGTCGTGGTGCTGGTGCGGATGCGCATCCGCGCCTGTGTCTGTGTGCAAACTCGCTGTGCATTTATTTAAGACAAGTGTGTTCGTGGATTTTTTTTTTAACATTTTTTATAAATTAATTTTAAATCTAACACTGTTTTATTTTATTTTCCAAAACTAACATTTTTACCCGCGCCTATTTCCCTGGCGCGGCGAAACGCCTGTGCCGCGCCATGCATGGTGGCGCGACGAGAGGGGTGACGTGACGACGACCGGTGACGTGGCAGGGTCTGCCGCGCAACCGATCTTGGCCCGGCGCCGCCGTGCCATCCCTCACGGCGCGGCAGTCCCAGGTAAATATCGTCCGCGAGCCGCCCTCCCTCTGTCTGCCTTAACGCGGTGGACGACTTCCGCGCCACGCCCTCCCGCCACTCCCAAGTGCTGTCGGCGTCTGGCCCTCCGTTGCCGCCTCCCTCCCTCCCTTCCCTTCCATTTCCTGGCCGCCTCCCTCCCTCCTCGGCCTTGTTCAAGATAATGACATATTTTTTATTTTCGTTTGAATGGTGGATTGAAATATTATGAATGAGAGTTAAGGTTAGGAGAAAAATTATGTTTGGGAACTATGGGCTATGGTTTGGAGGAAGATATTAGTTTAATTTTGTCAATGTTAAGGTTAATTATTTAGTTAGAAGTATGTTTATCATGTATATTTTTGTTGCTATAAGTGTTGATTATATTATTTGAGTTGCAATGCAAATGATTATATTTTACGTTAATATGCGTTGTTTTGATTGATGTTTAATTTGAACCGTTTTATTAGATGGAAGACATGTTTCGGGAGCAGTTGTGGTAAAAACGGGGTCGTCCTAGAGAATTGTACCCCAACGAGTCTAGCAAAGATGCCCCCATCCCTCCTGACCTCCCCGTCCCTAACTGTGACTGTGGTCGTTCGGTCAACGTGTTTCAATCGAGACATCCGGACACAGCGGCTCGTTGCTTCTACACATGCAGTCGTTTTAATATAAATAGTTGTTTCCGTTTGTTTTTTTCTTTATTTGTATTACTAAGTTACTAATATTTTGTTAGAATTTTATTGTGTAGGCTCATAAGAGGTGCTTTTTCTTTCAGTGGATCGACGGTGCAGACAAGTTTCACCATAGGCACCTCCTTTTCGACGATTGGTGGAGAGGGCGACATCCACGAGAGCACTTCGAGCGGTGGGTTCCACATCCCCCTAACCCCCCTCCAATGACGGCTAAGGAGAAGCACTTAGCCACAGGTAGACGACTCGAGAAACCCCCTCTGTGCGATTGCGGAGATCGAGTTGTGATAAACCCTGAGAATACGTTGGAGTTTGTGTATCCAAACAAGCATGAAGTAAGTGCAAAGTGTATATATTGAAATATTGAGCTATATATGTTCATGTACTAATGTCACCTTATTTAGGTGTTTTCAATGGCGAAGTATCGTTTCAAGGAGTGGTTGTATGGTCCTAAGAACCAATGGTCGGAAGAACTGCCAAAGGTTAAGGAAAAGAAGAAAGAAATGGTAATTTACAAAGTACCTCCTGTCATGTGCGAATGTGGTGTTAAATCCAACTATGGCCTAGTCCCTTCGGAGCTTGGAATAGGCCATTATTGTGGTCATATGGTTGACTATGATGAGGTTGGTTATTGGTGTTGAAAACCTGAAATTGTATTTTTCTGGATTTTTTAAAGAATTATGATATATTTTTTTCGTTTGAACAGAGCACTAGAAAATGCAAGTGAGAATCTTATGATGGTCAAGATAAGTTCTTGGATGACTTGAAGAGGATGCAAGTAATTGCACGAAAGAGGGGATATGGACGTGACTATGTCGACCCCTTTTTTAAACTACGAAAGAAGAACATGCGTGAGTTTGCTAGAAAGAGCGGTATTCGTAACCCGATCAATGTTAGGCTTGACAAATAGGGGTCAGAGAGACGGAAGACATTAGAGGAGGATAGGGCAAGGAAGGCTACAATGGAGGAGGAAACAGTACAGATGCAGGTATTGAATGACCATGTTGCTGCAGTGTGTGCAAGTGAGTCATTAGAAGCCTTCTTACTTTCGTTGCCTGCTTTTAAATATACTATAATCACATTAGTAACTTGTTGTATTTTATACATGAAGGGATTGGATGCAGCGGGGACCATGCCGCAGAGGTGGCCCGTGCAAGTTATGTGGAAAGCAAGTTACATGAGCACAGAACCCGAGCCGATCGCAGAGTTCTATGTCCGATTGTGTTGGACAATGAGGGGGACGAGGATGAGGATGACATTGCCAGGTTGAGCGATCTCATTGCTCTAGCGGAGGTGGGCTCACAGGTGGAGAAGGATGAGGACGACACTAGCAGACTGAGCGAGCTCATCGCTCTAGCAGAGGTGGGTTTGAAGGCGGAGGAGGATGAAAGCGTTCTTCTCTCAAGCCACAGAGTCCGCTTACTACATGCAACAGGCATATCAGGGTAATGCGGGTGAGCCTAGCCACATGAACGAGGAGGAAGAGAATGCGTTATTATCTCAGGCCGTAGATGAAGCGGAGGCCGCTTACTTCAGGCGAAAGGCAAATCAGGGCAATGCAGGTGACCCTAGCCACAGCAACAGGGTTGTGGTAGAGGATTGGTACTCGGACGACGAGTTGCTTACTCAGTATGTTTCTGACTGAGGGTTTTTGATTGCGCCGTCTGTTAGTTCCATGCTTTATTAATGATCAATGTAAGTATGTACTAGAACTTTCATTGTGTTGTCTTGTTTTCTATTTGAACTATTGATATATTGTATCCATGTATCATGTACTCGGATTACCTATGGTCGATCTTAAGTGATCCCATCCGTTTGTCACCCTCCGACCCATCCATTTGTCGCTCTCAGATGCATCCAAGTTTTTTTAATAATAGCGAATGAGTTGAGAATTTCTAAAACGAACAAAATCGAATGAAATTATTTCGAATACGGTTGGCTGGCATATATATCTTGCATGTTTCTCATGTATTTTAAAATTGTAGCTTGTAATTTATGTTATTAGCATCAGATCAATGTAAAATAACAATAATGTTATCACTTTGTAATTTAGTTAGGTTGTGATATAGTGTATATCGAACAAGACACATGTATGATAGTAAAGAGAGCGTAACATGGTGCTGTGTCAGAACGTCAAGACAGTCCGTGTACTCCCTATACTTGCGCCTCGCATTTTCTCTAACTAACTCTACTTGCATCCAGATATATAGAGCTGTAGGTAGTGTATCCTGCCCGTTCCAATGCTGCATTGAACACGATAATGAATTAGCATTAATAATTTCATCATATGTAACTGCATCGAAGAATATAGTGAACCGAAGTACTTACAGGGAAACCAGTAACAAGAGGTCTCCCAACAGGCCATCGTTCCCAACACCAAACCTAGAGTGACGCGGCGGGAGTGGCGCGACCGCGCGTCGTGGCACACCGATCTGGTAGGCTACGTCTGACAAGTGGCCGACCAGTAGGCGCAATGAGGTAGGCGTGATGGTATACCTGCCGCGGCGGTAGCAAGCGCAGAGGTAAGGCGGCGGGTAGGCTGGCGGGCATGAAGGTGCGGTGGGCGGTGGCGCCAGTGGTGGCAGCGCCGCATGACCGGTAAGGTAGGCGCGGTGAGCGAGGCGTCGCGCGTCGCAGCAAAGCGGGCGGGGCGGGCGTCGTGGATGGGCAAAAGCGTGGCGCGCGGATCGGGCCACGAGCCTTTAGCCGGCTCTACCGCGCCACCGATCAGGGCGCGTCACTGCCGCGCCATGATGCGTGGCGCATCACCGCCGTGCCCTGATCGGTGGCGCGGTAGAGCCAG